TTATTCGGTCAAATTCAAATAACCTCCTTAAGGAAGCTATAGACCACTCAACCTTGTTGAACGAACTGATGACTTGTTATGAAGCGATTAATGACCCAATTGCTTATCATCGAAAACGTCGATGTAGTCTAATTGAATAAATGAAGTACGTGATGCTGACAAAACAAATCATTAAGATAGTTGACTCGTTTGTATACCCTTTTGACGTGAAAGATTGCGACATGGTGATAATACAAAACAAAATGTGAAACAGTGACACCAACAGTGAAAGACTGAAGAATGAAGAAAATGTAGCTCGTACTAGCTATACAGCCAGGAGAATATTTATGGATAATATCATTGCAACACAAAATACAACTTGAATTACAAGAGGAATGTTACAAATGCAATTCTAAGTCTAGTTTTCCAGGATTCACAAACTCATCGTAACTAACCCCTTTTTGGTCCAACTTTCTCCGAATTGAAATCCGATTGCACCGTTGCGATCAGACAGTTAAACTCTATATAACGATATATTTTTTATATTTATTCGTTATACTTTTTCCGACATCATATTTTTGGGTGGTTGACTTTGACAGAGTCAAAATTGGTTTAATTGACCTTTATTCAAAAAGGTTCTCACATTTAATTCATATTATTTATTTCCATGATTTATTTCAATAAATCATTTCAAAGTTCACATTATAAACAATTTCTTCATTTATTCTTAATTTGGGTCTGTACTCATGTTCTCAATCAAGACCACACAAATACTCAACATATTGGATTTATCTCTATGAGACTTATCCTGATTTGTGATATTGGATGTCAAAACACATTTCATTTCGGCCCAAAGCCCAATAACTATTTATTTTAATCGAAATAAATTTGACTAATTGAATATTTATTCATTAAAAATTTTAGGGTATGTTTTAGGGCGTTACAGTATTATTACTCGGTATCAAAATAATCAAATAATAGAAAATATGGATGTTATTTTACGAAAGTATCACATTCTATTTGCATATTATATAATAATATATTGCATGTTGCGAATTATACATCACATAAAATCTTAAACACGTACTAATATTTCTCCCACCTCTACCAATTTTGTCATAAATCCACTTTTGTGTATATTATACCATTTTTAAGTTTAAAAGTGAGTCTTTTTTGTTAGTGGTTGTGCCTATGCCTTAGAGGGAGCTGAATAAGGCGTTCGAAAATTTTTCGGAGTTTAATAAATTTGGTGTTGGTAAATGCGGAAGCAATAAATAAACACAGAAATAAAAGCGTAAAATAAGAACACACCAAATTTTAGACTAGTTCGGTAAACCCCTACTCCAGTACTTTAAAGCTCCTTCTTAAGGATTTTCAGGAAGATACCACCCGGTCCCCGATAGTGTTCCTTGAAATTCAAGATTCTCTCTAGGCTTCTTGGATATTTTAGGAGAAATATTCCAAAAGGACTTTTTGTGATACACATCCAAAGTTTGTAGTGGTATCTTCATGAACTTTGCACGGCTCGAGCATTGATCTTTGTATGGCCGAATACAATCGGTCCCACAAATGGCGCCAAATGATGGTGTTAATTGTTTCAACTGGTTTTATCATTTTTACTGTGTCAAAATGATAAAGGAGCATAACAATACCAAAGGGAAGATTTTATTAATATCGGAGATAGTACATAGTACATAATCTTGACATTACAAGTTGTAATGCCAAAATTGATTTTATTCAATTGAGTGCAAATCTTATAAATTATTGAGTGTATTTGGTTGAAAATAGATACAATTAAATTTAATAGAGTCAAATATAATTAATTTTACACTTAAATGTAATGGTGTAGATCAAATTTGAAAATGATAACATTAAATGCTGCCGCTATAGAGTTTTCAAAATGCTAACACTAGCATATAATGTTATTGACTAATATTGAGTGAATTGGTTCAAAACTAATCAAATTGACTTTCAAATCAATAGAACTTATTATAATTTGATGAAATTAGGATAAAATCTAGTTATTCCATACCATTCATTATATAATCTTTTCGTCCAAAAAGAATATCACACTTCACTATTTAAAAATTATGGAAATTTTATTTGTTTGTGCGGTATCATTTATATGTATAACTTATCTTTAACTTTCTAAATATAATAAATTTAAGGCATGAAATTTTGTACTTTTTTCAAGAAAATAATCCATTTTATGAGGGAATGAAAAGGTAATGTAATACTTCAAATGGTAAAAAAAAAAAAATTAAAAATATAATTTGCTTATTGAAAGGCAAACATAGTTCCAAATTTTTCGGTTTTAGTTCTAATCGGGTTTGGATATTATCGGTTTCAGAATCTAATTGGTTTCGGGTTTTATTTGTTTTGGGTATTATCGGTTTCGGGTTTAATCGGTTCGGATATTATCGGTTTCGGATCTAATCGGTTTCGAATTTAAATCAGATATGAATTATTTAGTTCGGTCTCGGTTCGATTCGGATCATTTTGGGTTTTCGGTTATAGATCGGATCTTCATTTTTCGGATCATTTTGGTTCCGGTTTCGGATATTTTGGTTCGGGTAATCGATTTCGTTTCTGTTTTGCCACGTCTAATTACAACCATTGATGGAGCGTTTTAGCTCTATAAAGAATAAATAATACAAATAATTTTTTTCAAGTAATGTGAGAGTGTATACTAGTTTTATGAGCTTGGCCTCCCGATACTGAAGGTGAAAGGTTTCTTTTATAGTGAGATGTGAGGGAGTAATTGTGAAGATAAATATGGTAGGTGAGTGAATGATGAGAGTAATTATGGTAGAGAGTGATTAGTGGAGCTAGTTATGGTAATCAGTGAATGGTGAATGTAATTAAGAAAAATGAGTTGACTTTGAGGATAGTTATGGTAGGAGGAGTAATTTGTGGCCAGTGCTTGGTGATGATAGTTGTGGTAATATTAATTAAAAAATTCGGAGTGAGATGTCCGGGCCAAATAATATTTCCCATTATTTGCCATCTTCTAAAATCTTATCCTTCAAAGTTTTCCAGTTTTGCAAAATTGATTGTAATGTCCTTCACTGATTCACTATTCATCACCTTCAAGAAGAGGAGCTGAGCTGTCATATGTATCTGTTTCTAAAATCCGCGTCTATTCACACGAAAAGGAGAAGATGAGTTCCTTCAGATTTTCTTATGTATCCAAATTCCAAAAAGTAAAAATTCAAATGATATTTTAATAAAAGACTTTGTGTAAAATAAAAAAAAAGATGGTACCCCGCATGGGTTGTCGCCCCTTGAATACAACTTTCGGGGGTGTTGGCCCCTTGGAACCCCTGCTAACACACTCAGGGACAAAGTAAGACTCTTTTTATAATAAATTTAACGAAACGTGTACTCCGCACTACCAAACTTCGTTGATGATTGTTATAATAACACTGGTCAAATAGTCATTCCAATTACACTAAAAAAACTTCCTCTAGCCCAATAATGACTTCTTATTTCTTTTTTTGGGGCGTTCCAAAAAAGTGTGTTCTATTCTTCTATGGGAAGCTTTGACTAGTTCAAGATCTTTTTCTCTCCTCTAAATGACTTTCAATCACATATTTTCACTTTTTTAAAATTTTGTAGGAAGTCAAATTGGGAGCGTTATTTTGGGACAGAGATATTACCATACTAGGGGTGGACACGGTAGGGTTCTGGTTCCGGAACCGCCGGTTCCGGTACCGCCACCCCTTGGTACTGGTAATGTGACCGGACCGGCCGGTACCGATTCCGATACCTGGACCGGCGGTTCCGGTACTGGACCGGCTGGTTTTGGCCACCTCCCAATTATTTTATTTTTTTTGCTTTTTTTTTAAATTTTTAATGTGTAAAATTGTAAATGTGCAATTGTTAAAGGAAAAAATGAAATAAAAAAAAATCTAAAAATGTAGTTGTTATTTAAATATTGTAAAATGAGTAATACACGAAATGAAGAACAACTATATTTAATATCCTGACGGTTCAAAAAAAGCGACGAGGTAAAGAACCGTAAATGGTACCCCATGGACCGTTGCATGTTTGGAGAAATAAAAAAAAGAAAACGGTACCGGAATCGGAACCAGTACCGCCGGTGCTAGTGCCGAAAAATGGGTTCCGGAACTGGTACCGAGGGGCGGTGCCGGTACTGGTTCTCGGAACCGGTGGGACGTCCTGGCCGGCGATGACGGTGGCGGGTACCGGCGGTATCGTTGCCGGTCACAGTACCGTACCGGTACCGTGTCCACCCCTATACCATACTACTATAGTTAGACCATGTTCTTTTGGGTTGAAAAAAACTAATTTCCAGCATTTTCCAATTTCTTCCAAAGTTATTCAATTAAGACTTAAAAAAATATTTATATATTATGAATATACTCCATATACATTAACATTATATATGCAAATTTATAACATACCACCTCAAATTCAGAAAATGATATATTCTTTTTTTATCTAAAATCAAAGTTTTCTTATATATTTATTAAAATCTTGAATGTTAATTTAATTGAATAACTTTGTAATACTGGTAACTTTTTACATATTTACTTGGGGATCTATAACCTATGGTTACTTTTTCTTCTAAGGGAAGAATTGAAAATGTTTTTTCGCATCATGTAAATCCTGCAGAACTTTGTCATCGACTGGATGATTTGGGCAAGTCGCCTAAGTTCTACTATTAACAATACTGAGAGAGATCAAGGGCGAATAAGGTAAGAAAAGAGTAGCAAACGAAGTTACAGTTCTATTCAAATTCAAATCAGTTGACGGGTCAGAAATTAGGGTTTACATGCACGAGGTCTAGACGTCTAGCCTTGTCCGTTAAAGGTAAGACACTCCATTCCCCACTGAAATTTTTGCTCAAACTGTAGCTCCATTCAATACTCTGTTCCAATTGAGCTTCCATTGTTGAAGCTCTTCAGCACCTACTGGGAGATTATACAATGTTGAAACTCAGGAGCTATTGCTGTTACTTAGTTCATGAATCGCAAATGTATTCTTTTTTTATTTTTCTTTTTTAAAAAATGGTTTTGAATTTCTGATACAGAGTATTATTTAAACATTGACGTTGTTCTTTGATTGTTTAATGATATGACACTGAAAATTGGACTTATATTTGTATAATTCCGCGAAAGACTTAACCTTTTGCTTCAATTGCTGAATAATTTGTGTTTTTAAGGAGTTATTGAAAGCTTGAAACTTGATTGTGGCATTCGCTTTGGCATGCATTGTAATTTTGTTGTGTTTAAGTTCACTAAGATGTTAAGGCACCATTATTGCTAAACATCTTTTTTGTTAATTTAAAGCAACGGATTTTAAAATTTTTCTCCTAGGTCCTAACCGCACTTAGGCTTTGTTCTTTTTGGTTGGAAAAATTAACTTCCAACGTTTTCCAACTCCTTCCAGTTTGTTCCAACTTCTTCCAGTTTTTTCTAACTCATTCCAGTTTATTCCAACAATGACTTGAAAAATGTATTTACATATGATGACTAAACAATAACATTATATATCCAAATTTATAACATAACACTTCAAACACGGACAAAGATGAATTATTTTTTATATCCAAAATTAGTTTTCTTACACATTTATTTGGGTGATCATTTAATTAAGTGATTTTTTAACACTTTATTTTTTCCAACCTTTTCCATCTCCTTCCAGTATCTTCCAACATCCAACTTTAGAATTCCAACTGAAAAGAAGCATATTGATGTAAATTTATTAGCACACTGTTACTGTTACTATTTCTATGGTATTCGTGGGAATGGCAAGACTTAGGATTTTGAGGGATGTAAAATTTGGAAGCATACTACTATTACTATTTCATTGTTTTTACTTGTCATGCGGAAGCTTTATATGGGAATATTTGGTACTTTAACATTTTATTTACTTTCAGAAGCATGGTTCATGAGACTCGATCAAGGAGTAAAATAGGAGCCGATGATGTTAGTTCAAAGAATCAAGTGGCTGATAGAGAAGAAACATCCCCATGTTCTAGAAAGGCAGATTGTTTAGGTCTAAGAAGGCTAGCTCGGGAAACCTCATCAAAAGATACTAGGACAAGCCCATCACCTACACGGAAGTCTGAGCGCATTCAGAAGAAGAGTTCACCTGTGACTCCTGTTGTGTGCAATAAACTTGATAAATTGGACACTCCTAGTCCTTTAAGGAGGTCAGTAAGAGGCAAAAGAAATGTTCCTTCATCACCAAAGATCCCAGAGGATGAATCCGTTTCATCTGGTATGGAGTCACATGGCAAGAAAGAGAAGACGATGAAGCAACCGATGATGGAATCTGAAAAAGTTAGCACCAGCCGCAAGGTCCATTACAAGAGCTTGTCTTCTATTGGAAAGAAAAGGAAGAGAATAAATGGACACAGTTATGCACTTTTGCTCAAGAGGCGACAAAGAAGGGGTTCACTATCAGGTGGGCAATATATCATATATGCTCTTTCATACACTCCCTCCCAGGACTCATGAATGTCATTTTTTTTGGATTTTTTGATGCGTTCTTTTTCTAGTGGGGATGTAGCCCTATCTCCTTTTGATTTCTTTGAAAGCTGAAATCAGCCAGCTCTTAAATTAAGCGCAGATCTAGTGATATCAGAAAGTGGATCCATTGAATATTGCAAACTTTTTAAAATAAATATCTTAAATATTGCACCGGTGGTTTGTTGTTGTACCATTTGCTTGCTGTTCTAGGGAACACTGATGGGAATGTAACTTTTATCCATGCAGGCATTACTAAGTCAAAAAGAATCCTTCAGCTTCCTGAAGTTGATAGTAGTGACTCCAGAAACGAGGAGTCCAAGCTTGCTGAGGATGAAGAAAATGGGGACAATGAGTGTCACACAAAGATTACAAATGAACTAACCAATCACCTTGCTCCACATTTTGACGATGGTGCCTCCAAAGATGTGCTAGAGGCTTGTCCTGGCATTGAAACTTTGAAGATCTCAAATTTGGTATGTTCTGGTTTAGCAAGTGGTGAGCATGAAATAATAAGATCATCAAAGACACATATGGTAAACACTGATCTTGAAGTCACAGTGGCAGATGCAAACATGCATACATGCACTTCTGCGCCTGCTTCGGAACCATTATCTGGACATGAAAAGCATTTCTTTGCAGGGTTTTGTGTTTCATGTTCAAAACAGCGAAGGTACTTCTCTTAATTTTGTTTGCACAATATGACACGGAGTATTTTATATTTTAGCCTTTTAGCTATATGCTGGATGACCTGGATCTCTTGCCATCAGTTACACTGCTGATCAGTTATGTCTTATGTTTTGCACTTTCACTCCATAACTGTACACTATCAGATTTGCACAGTGTTTTATGCTAAGATTTATTTACTATTTACAAGATATGTTATTATGTTTGCTCTCTGCACTGCACATTTTGAAGGGGAGGAATGGAAAATTGTTTTCTCAGCCTTTATTCTGTTTGGAGTCATTCTGTTATTGCAGTTTTATGTGCTTCCCCAATTCTGCTCCTCTCCTCATTATATAGATATGCTCATGCATTTGATTTGTTTGCAGAGTGGGCCATGATTCACCAAAAGTAGAGCTCTGCTCATGTGTTACAATGCACAATAAAGATAACAATTACATAGCTAGTCCTGAGGTTGGTTTATGATGCCGTTTGATATTTGCACTAAGAGATAGAAAAATGTTGCACAAGGAATATCCTCAAGGCCTGCAAGTTGATTTAGGGAATGTCTGGTTGGAGGAGAGTGGAGCTCCCCTTTGGTTCAACACATTTGAAGGGGAGGGGCTCCCCATGTTTGGTTCAACCCGATTTATTAGGACAGGAGTACATTATTAGATTTTATAGGACGGGGGGAGTATATTTTTGGCTTTATTTTTCAATCATGGAGTACTAAACAACCTAAAACAAACATTACCTTTGAACCGATCATACCCTTAGTCCAGTGAAACAAACATTAAACTAGTCTCAGTGGCACAAATACTTTTGAACTGAAAGCATGAGGAATATGTAGCATATTCAGAACATGAAACTTTTTTATGTCACACATTCAGTGGGTATATTTTTTGCGTTTATGTGTTGGAGTATCTTGAACTTTATCTTCATTGAAGAATGAAGTACTATGTCAATTTTTTTCTTTTCAGCGGAATTTACATTTTGTTGCATAAACACTAGAACCTTCCATCTTGTACTTGTAAGTGGGGATCACTTTATAGTGCAGTTTTGACCACCATATCTTCTTACCCATACTCTACATTGTTGATTGAAATTAACATTTGAGTCTCAAGAAGATTTTTGTTTCTGTAAATGATATAGGCTGCCTCTACAAAAACACAACTAAAACAATTTAGAGCATATTTTTTCTTTACTTTGTCTACGTTTGATATTTAAAATTTATGTCATTACACTGTTCTTATTAGGTTGGAGTTGGCGTGAAAGCTATTCTTTTCTCAGGGTCTGCTGAAAAATGCCACAGCAGAAAATCTGAAGGGGATATTTCAGATCCTTATGTGGATAAGAATGAAAATGTGTGCATTGTGTGCAAAGAAAGTGGAAAGAGCATGTGAGTGAACTTTATGTTTATGCATTAATATATGGTATAATTTCAAAAATAAAAAAATAAAGAAATTAAACTTTTATGTTTGTGGACTGAAACTACTTGTTCAGACGAGAAACTTAGCTGATATTGTGTTTACAACATGATAGAAACTCAAAGTTCATGGTCTTGTCTGAAGTGTCATAGTTTAATAATTAAGCCTATTAATATATGGGCAATAGTAATATTTATAATATGATTTTAATTTAGTGATGAAGTGACTTCCTATCATTTGCTGATGAACACATCCAGCTTCTGCTTTACTACTGAGCATTTGTTTTTCGGTACCTCAGGCATGCAAAATCATTATTTGTTAGTAGTTTGCTTGGAAAGTTCATGGTCTTTAATCCAGTTAAGTATTACAAACATAAAGCATTTGGGATTCATGCCTTTTCCCCCAATGTTTCCAACATTTTGCGTACACACTTTTACTTGTCTTTTTCTTTTACTGTAGTATTCTTAACTACTTTTCAGAGTTTGCAATGGAAATGGTTGCAAGAGATGCTACCATCTCCCTTCTTCAGGTCCTAGTATAAATGATGTTCCACTTGGAATCTGGCATTGTCTCTGGTGTCAGATGAAAAAGATTGCATTTGGTGTCCACTCGGTGACAAAAGGAGTGGATTCAATCTGTGATGCTAGAGAAGTGGATGTATCAGGTTTGATACAGCTGATTGACCAGCACTCTTTATGTACATATTGAAGCCAGAATTTTTTACCAACTAATAAAACTTTCAACAGTTTTTCTTTTGTTTTATTTTAGTCTATGATTGTTTCTGATTCTTGTTGATTCTGCCTTCTTGTCAGGAACACATATGCAGAAGCAGTATCTCGTGAAGTACATAGATCTTGCTCATGTTCACAACCATTGGGTATCAGACGCACAGTTACTTCTTGAAGCACCATTCCTTGTTGCAAACTATAGTGACAATACTCAGGTCAAGTTATGGTTTGGATGATTGCCATCTGTTCTTTAATTTGATTGGACAACCTGCTTTCTGAATTTCAAAATGATCTGACATGCATGGATCTATTTATTTTAATGCATGGTTTGAAATCCTTTCAAACACTAAATTCGTTTCACTATTCAGGTTATTGGATGGAACTCTGAGTGGACATTGCCACATCGTTTGTTGAAGAAAAGGTCATTATTTTTCTCTGAATCGCTTGGTGACAGTCAAAATTTTGATGCTGGTCATAATACCGCATGTCAATTTGAATGGTTTGTAAAGTGGCGGGGTCTTGATTATGAGAATGCAACATGGGAATTGGAGATTGCTGATTGTCTACGTTCACCTCATGGGCAAACATTGGTTAGGGAGTATGAGTTACGCATGGAAAAAGCAAAACAGCTAACCGGCAAGGTTCCAGTGTATTGACAAATATTTAAGTCTTGCCTTTTTATCTTCACTACTTAAACCTGCATGCCGATTAATAATCAATTTTAACACTTTAGGTAGAGTCTCATCTACGTTCAAAATCTAAATCGTGCATATTCTCACTCTGCCAATCTGTTAGACAAAAATACTGTTCTATTAAGTTGAATGCTGAATTAATGAAGTGACTTTGATAATTTTGTTGTCAACTACTCCTTTGTGTGTGATTATACCCTGCTCATCGTGATTTTTAGTTTCACACATTTTGTTGTTATGAATCCCTGAGCTTAAACTTATGCACTAGGATAGGGGGAAGAGTTTTTCTGTACTCTGGAAAATATTCTTTATTTATTTGCTGTAAATGAGTAGCAAACAGAGATATGATTTGATATTGGAATAGATCAAACTGACAGACCCTTTTCGTATTTTGTTGCTTTTGATATCTCTGTGTTGCCTATATTTTTTTTTATTTTTTGTCACACTTGCAGAATAATAAGCAATCACTCGTTGGACTTCCAAAGATTTGGGATGGAAGTTCTCTAATAAGTGATATGGATATGCTTACTTCTATGAACAAACTACATGATCATTGGTCTAAATCAGAGAATGTTGCTTTATACGATGATCAGGTTGGTTGAATACTATACATTGTTTCTATTTCCTAAGCAATTCTAGTTGGGAATCTAGTACTTGAAAACTTTTTATACAATATTATGGAGATGGGCTATATGGGGATGTGATTATGTAATTTCAATAGTTGGCTTCACAGTTGAGTTGTCATGTACTCATGTATTTACATGAGTTCTTATTTCTTAATGGTTGATTAACCGAAGCTAATCTGTATAGTATAGTCGCAACCCTAACGTAAATAATAGCATAAGTCTCTTCATTCCAAATTGTTAGACGTTTTAGCCATTTTCCCAAAACATTTGTCATTTTAGGAATCTAATACATATTGTTTTTACTTATTTTCCATATTTATGTTTTTGTATGTTGAGCAGAAAAATGTATTCAATATTAAACTTAAATGTGGACAGTAGGACCATTTCATAAGCTTCCATGTCTGCTTCTCTGCCAACAACAACAAATCCAATATAATTTCAATCTAAGATGTCAGATATTTTGGGACGAAGGGAGTGTGGTATGAATTAAACGAGCAGCTAATGATTCTTAACAATTTAATTGAATACGATCTTCATGTTTGGATGCTTCTTCGGGAGAAGCTTTCCCAGGACAGCTATTTTGTTTGGATGCTTCTTGGGTGAGTGTTCGAGAAGAAAATGCCCGATCACCATCTTGGTGCTTGACTGCAACCTCTCATCAAGTAACCCAAAACCGGAACAGTTGCCCTACACCTGCATGTGCCATACTCAACCATCTGTTTTCACTCAAAAGCCTAACACAGATCTTTTACCTCACAAACTCTTTTGTTTAGTTCTTGAGTTTTACTTTTCGTAGTGAACCGAATAATTTCTGAGGAACCCATTGCTTTTTGACAAGGTGTATGATCTTTGGGTAATCCCTATCTTGTATATGATGTATTCCTTCATGAACCATCTTAGCATGTCTACCCTTACGCTGTACTATGCATCTGCTCCAAAAACCAACCGTGAGGCTTATGACAGATCTAGGTTGGCTCATATCATTTTTATAGCTACATGGCTTTTTATTTTAACCCATGGGATTTGGTCCCACTCCATCGTTGTATGGCTATTGTTGGATGTACGTGGATTTGCATGGTTTAAGTTGGGCATTTGTATGGGCCTTATGGTAAATTTGGTCAATTTACTGCCCATCGTAAAGTTGATGCTTATTGTCACAATTGTCACAATTCGCAGCCGGTCCCCTTGCTATCTCACCAATATGCACGGTCTCTTTGTATAACAATGGAAGTACCGAAGTGTTTCGTGGCTTTTATCCCCCATCCCCAACTCAATTCTACTGCAAGAAGCTCTATCTTTATTTGATAGTTATAGTGAGTTGTTGGATTCGACCCATTTTATTTTGTTTTATTTCTCCTTTTACTGACTTGTTTAATGGGTGTATTTCAGATATATATTTTTGCTTATTGAAGTTGGTTTAAATTTTTGTATTTGGTTTGCAAAATTAGCTTTGGCAAAAGCAAGCTCCTACCTGCTTGTTGGTTATTGCTTTGTACACACAATCTAAAACACAACCGTTATTTGCTTGGGTTGAGTGCCTTAATCCCTTGCCAACATTAATAGGTATGAAGAATAAAGAAAAAATTCAAAATATTCTTTAACAATAATAAGTTATTAAAATTAATACTTAGTAAAATCAAATAATCAGAAATCAAATATTTTCAAACCTACATATTTTAATCTGCTCCTATGCTTATATCAATTAATTTCAATAAAAAAGTAACTTAATTTTCTCAATGAGTTCTTCCCTTTGTGTGATGTAATTTTTATAAATATTTCACAAGTTTACTTGTTTAATCATTTTTGTTTTATCTTACATTATTGATCATGTATCTTACCGTTTATAACATAATACCACCTCCGTCCTAGAGTATTTGTCCAGTTTTGACTTTTTTCTCTCAACCGTTTTCAACCTTTGACCTTTAATTGAATAAAATATATATTGTATATTAATTAGATAAAATAATATTTTGAAAATATTTTATATAATATATCTAATATAACTATTTTTATATCAATATCTAATATCATTTTTATTTAATTTGGGGTCAAAGTTTACTAATTTTGACCCAAAAAAGTCAAAAGTGGACTAATACTCCAGGACAGAGGGAGTACTATTCATGATTTAAAATATGTATTTTGATTTACAACTTGAATCTTGACCCCCTGATCCATTAATCTTGATGTCTATTGAGAGATGATCCACCTATAGATGTTGTGTTTCGGTTGGTCATAATCTCATATCTTGGAAGAGAAACAGATAGTTGCAAGATCCAACTGAAGCCTTTTGGAATGCTATATTTACATTGTATTTGATAGGCGACCAGCCCAATGTTCCTATTAATAGTTTTTCATTGGCGGAATGGCGGAAGAGTGAGAAGAACGAAGTTGTTGCAAGATCCAGTGTTGGAGTTGAAGATTGCGATATGGTGATGGCGACTTCGTGCACTTTTAGTTTTCTATGTTTAGTCATTCAGTTCAAGAATTGAAACGCGATGCTATTTCTAAAATGACACTAGTTTGCGGAAATTCAACAGCATTATATGACCTCAAATTGAGTATCACGATTCATGATAGGACCAAACGTATGGACGTTGATTGCCACTTCATAAGGGAGATCACGTGTGGATGCATTTCAAGAGATTTGTCAATTATACTTGATGAATTGGCAGACATTTTTTGCGAAGTCCCTTCGAGCTTTTAGGTTAAGGTTTATTTGTAACAAGATTGGTGCATATGATTTAAATTTAAATGTTCTAGCTTGAGGGGGAGTGTTGATTAGCCCAAATCTGTATATAATTAACAGTTGTTCCAAACTCCTGTTTATGTGTGTACATATAGGGAGCTTTTAATGAGTTTTTGCACAATGTAATACAATACAACCTTCCATATTTAACGAAACTTATGTCTTTTCTCAGGTTCTGTTGAATATAATTAAACCTAGGGTCTTGTAATGGGCTTAGCCCAAATCATGAAGTGTGTAAATCAATGTTGGCCCTTTGGTTTTATTGGCATAGAGAAACTCATGCATATTCTTTCTGTCTTCACAAATTCTATGCATATGGAATTATTGCTAAACAACAACCCAGACACCCAGTATAATCCCAACCCAGACACCCAGTACTATGGCATTTCAATATTTTTTGATAGTTCCATCATACCCATGTTGATTAACAAAAGCAATCTTATCGAAGTATGTGACATGGCTATAACAACTATCTTAACTCATAAATTTTCACATGATATTTTTATGCAAATGGTAAATCCCTGTGATGACAATTTTTGGAATATCATCTCAGAATTCCTATCAAGAACATTGTGTCCGTAATGGCATTCCATGTAAAGCCTTGCTACTATACTCTTATTACATGGATTTATAATGTTAAGTGATTATAAAAATAAATTGACACTAGATTTCATGTCACCCACCCCAATGTAGTTGAGATTGAGGGGACGATGATTCTTGCCAAAGCAAATTCTTCATGTATCTTCTTCTTCTGATACTTATTCGTTAAGACTTATGGCCCGACTTTGTTATGCTATCCGGGCCAATGTACAACCACATCCTATTTCTTTTTCCATCACAAGTCACAACCTTTAATTACTCTAGCTCTATCTGAGAACCTTTTGAGCACACATCAACATTGTCCTGAACTGCAACATCCATGTTGGTGCATTCCACGTGCTATAGTATATTAGTAACCTCATGAAGTCTTGTGATTTAGTGAATTTTGCTGTAACAGTTGATATGTCTCACAATTCTATCTAAATAAAGGTATGTTTTTCAGGGTTAATTCATTACTGTTAGCTGCAGTATGGCACTATTTTTTGGTAAAAGCTTCTTAAATGAAAATTTGTTGTTTTGTATTATATGCAGGAACAAATGATGAAGATAGGTTTATTTATTTTATCTATGTCAATGGTCTGCTGCTGGCCTGTTCTTATTGTCACTGCTTCCCATGCTATTTCTCACTGGGAAGCTGAACTCAAGAAATGGGCCCCAGCGGTAGATTGTGTAGTTTATCAAGGTAGCAGGGAAACCAGAAGGCTAATTGAGATGTGCGAGTTTTATGGCCAAGAAGGAAGTATAATACTTCAAGTTCTTTTGACCTCTTTTGAAACTGCTCTTGAGGTACACCTTGATAGTTTGACATTTTGACCTTTGGTATTTTAACATTCTCTTCCAGACACCTCATGATTAACAAATATTTAGTGAGTGATGAGGAGTTGAGGACCTTTGTAATCAGGTTTAAATTGCTTTTTTAAATGCTAGGGTTGGACGGTTGGTATCATGTGGTCAATTTCTTGACATACTTTTATACTGTATGTAGGATATACACACATTAAATAGATTGAACTGGGAGCTGGTTGTATTTGATCAGTGCCAACATTTAAATTTATCTCCCCATGTAGAGAAAGTTGAGACACTTGGTGGGCTAAAAGTGCTTCTTTTCAATGGTCCAATAAAGGTATCGTTTTAATATTTTATATGCTCATTTTTTTCTAACACTCTCTAGTTTTTACTCATTCTATATAATTTCACAGCATACTGCATCGGAGTCCTCAAACATACTGTCACTTGTTTATTCTGATGGTGATTTGGAAAAAGCTGATCCGTTGAAAACTTGCTCAAATGATACTCTTGGACAATGGAAAGAGAGGGCGGCATCTCAGGAGTTTTTTGAGTATTGGCTTCCCGTTCAACTTTCTGAATTACAGCTTGAACTTTACTGTGATACATTACTCTCGAACATCGATGCCCTATGCTCTTACTCAAAAAGTGATCCAGTTGGAGCCCTTAATGATATGTTTCTTAATATTCGAAAGGTTGGATCTGACTCTGTATGTTCTCATACTATTGATGCATCTCTGACATTATGCTATTGCATTCAGATTTTGTGTGTGAATGTTAAAAAATGCGTATGTTTCTTTTCATAATACCAAATACCCACCAGTCACACACCTACTTTTCTTGGTATCACTAAATTAGTGCATTTTCCATTATTTGTTAAATTTTTTTCCATTATTTTAACAAGCACAACACTTTGAACATACTCCTTTATTATTTTCACAAATGAAACAATGGAATAGTTTTGCTTTGTATTGGTAACACAACTGGATAAAAGAATAAGATGCCCTTTATGTATAGGCACCTGTTTGGAGACAAGGCAAACAGGTATACTATAGGCTGCAATTGAGTTGGTAAAGGACTCCTTTGACAATAATATGAATCATATGATTGATCTAGGATTGTGCTGCAGTGGATTTACTGTTCCTTGTAGTACAATATAGCAATACACATAATACACTTCAACTGTGAGCCAAAGAAGCAGTGAGTTTCATTTATGCATGAAAGTGAGCAAACTGAGCATTTCGAAAGATAGCAAATTTTCTTGACTAATTAATTTTAGTTATTACGGAGTAAGTTGGAGATGCACCACTTCTCATTGAGCTGTTATAAATCAAAAGAACTGTTAAAATTTTATTCTATCTAATGCTTGTAAGTAAGCTCCCATCCCCACACTCGACCATGCCCCTCTGGCTCAGGGGCCACATTAAATGTATCTGCCATAAAGCGTGACACTGGCACATCAATTTGGAAATGACATTATCTCGAGTTTTATGCATCTATTGGTGGTGGTTTGACATTTGATGCTATTGACGATACTCCCTTTCTGTGTTCATTATAGTGTCATGGCATTTGATGCTTTTGTTGTTGGTAAAACTAATCTCATAAGAATTATCTTTTTCAGTGCTGTGATCATCCTTACATCATTTTTGACCCATCCACAAATTTGCTCAATAAGGAGCTTTCTCAGGCTAATATCTTGGATATTGGCATACAAGCAAGTGGAAAATTGCAACTTCTTGACAAAATGCTATCTGAGATGAAATGCCGACAATTAAGAACAATTATCCTTTTTCAGGTATATGTTTACTATTTTTTTCCTCTATATGAATTTATTGATCTAAAGTATTTCGTCAGTTTTTCATACTAGATCCGTGTATGCACCCAAACAAACTAGGCTGCCCTTTGTTTTGGCTGCACTTTTCTTGCTTGAAGCAACAACACCCTTTAGTTGTGTTTTAAGTTCAAACCAAGTAGAGTGTAGTATCCTACTCCATCTATCCTAATTTGTTGTGCCCAAATTGACTAGGGACTTGGATTAAATTAGTGAAGACTGTATTTGATTTTGATATTCATGTAGAAGCGAGAGAAACATCATGAAATGTTAACCTTCATAATAAATTGGGACAAGCCAAAATGTAAAAGTGTAAAACATGCAGGACATATTGGGATGGAGGGAGTAATTTTTAAATTCAGAAATGGTCGGAAAAGGAAAGTTGCAAAGGTGGCGTGTGAGGCTAGAAAGAGTTCAGGTAGTTAATGATGTTCAAGTTTCACTTTCAGTATTTTTTTACAAAAACATTTTAAAACATAACAAAAAGGTCTAGATTTTTTTCCTGTATAACAAAAAGTAGTAAACAAATTTTCAAGTGGAGCTGTGATCTTATAACTTTGTGGAGTTTCTTCTATAGTTCCATAGGATCTGCATGTTTTGGATCTAGGGTTTAATTTTTAATTAGTTATTATAAGTACCAGTAGCAGTAGTATTAGTTTCATATTACTATTATTATTAGAATTATTAACAGTTTTTGATTAGTAGCCTTATTCTATTTTAGTTCATATTTCTGAATAAGGATTCATGTTTCTTAGTACTATTATGGTACATCTCTGTAAGGCTTTGCCTATTTATGCTCACACAATTATTAATACATTTGTCAACGCCTTTGGATGGAATTGTAGACGGAATGTCCCCTCCCTGTAATTACTACAAAATTTAAGGGCTCTTGATGTCTTTTTGAAAATAGAGGACCTCGGAGTTATTTCAACAAAACTTATGTCACCTGAGAGTAATTTTCTGTTTCTTTTGCATATGGCTTATCATCCTGAATCAAATATAAAAAAATTCCAGTGACAACTCATCATTTTATGAAATAGTGTACCTACACTTCACAGCCTGAGATGTAGGTACATGAAACAGTGTAGACATGTCCTACACAGTGTATTCATCTTGCCTATGATTGTAAAAAGACAATGTTTCCAAACTAAAAGTGACTACGTCTCCTTTTTAGTTAAAGAAATATTGAAGTCATATTTTATTGAGTAAAAAAAGAAGTGGTTAAAAGTTTTTAATGAAAAGAAGCATAAAAGTTTTTATTGCGTGACACTAAAAACTCAATTCTTAGACAGCTAGTGGGGATTAGTATATAACTATGTCTGAAAGATAAAAAATATATAAAATGGAATAAGAAAGAAGTAGAGATTGCTGTAGAGAAAAAGCGTTGCAAACAAGGTCGATCAATCTATGTGTTGGTTGTCCTAGGTCAGAGGACATTTCCGACCATTTCAAGAGTCGTTTAAAAAAATGAGCAGTCATCTGCGAGAATGGCGTGATAAGTGCATTTCCGTCATCAGCTTACCTCTACTCTATTTACCTGAATCTAAATTTGCAAGTGTGGTAACCCCTGCCTAAGGTACTCTTGCATGTGGAAGGGAGGGTGAAGGTAAATGAAAATCATATCATCACTTTGGCTGGTGTAATTACGAGGGATTGCAGATTGAACCCATAGTTACTAGCTATCACGACACCAAGGTGAGATAAGGTGCCTGAGGACCGGATGCTTAGTTGACTATGCGTCCGCCTATACAACAAGTCATAAAAGGCTAGACATAGTACATGACATTAATATAAGAGTTATATGTCCCTGTGGTGTTTCATAAGTGGGTAAATAGTCTTCGAACTTTTAAAGGTTGTCAAATAGTCCCTGTGGTCAAACAGTCGTAGCATAATTAGTCCCTGTAATAGAAAATTTGTAAATTGACACAACACGCACGTATTATGCAAAGGCGTCAATCATGTAACAGTTAACACGCAAATCTGGAATTTCAATTGTGATGTGTAGCTTTGAACCCTAGTACAATATCTTCCATCTTTTAGTTTAACTCTTACAACGAATTCTTCGTCTCTTCTATAGTGATATTCTTGAATCGTAGTAGAGTGTCCTATGTGAGCTCGATATTATTCTATTTTTCAAGTAGCTTTATTCTAAGGTAAAATCGTGTGAGAAAATAGCTAGAAAAAGACCATTCATTGCCTTTAACCACGAAGACAAGGGCAATTTCATGAGATAAACTTCTTTTTTTTGTTACATGCTTCACATTTTTACACAATATGCCTATGTTCTGTGTGCTTTACGTTTTCCTTAAAGAAGGGACTAATTAATTATGCATCAGTTCTTTGATCACAGGGACTATTTTCCAACTTTTAAAAGTACAGGGACTGTTTACCTACTTATGAAAGACCACAGAGACTATTTGTGCATTTAACTCTTAATATAAATATATCATAAAATATATTCTAATTCATGAACTTTAAAAGTTTAAAGTCACTAATGCTTAAAAGAAGCGTAACTCAAAGAACAAAATTTAAGAAATCACACAGTCAAAGTTTACCTAAAATCCATAGCACCTTAATTTTTTTACAATAAATAAGTGTGCTGAACAAATTTGAAGTATACAAAACTCACAAACTTTACGTTCGACAGTAATACTACTTTGTAATATTGTAAAAGTGATTAATAATAGATTAGTAGTAAATCAGAAATCTTGAGTACAATTAATGCAATTTACAAGTATGAGAACAAACTAATGGTTTTCTTGTAAAGATGACAATGTGTTTATTTTGTATTAAAACAATAATTCAGACTACTGCATATCACAAGTTCAAACAAAAAAAGTTGCGGAGTAATATAAAACTGAGAAGCTTCATTGCAAAACACATGAACTCTTGCAGCAACCCTTTGACGCCGACCTGCCTTTGTTCTCCGTGAGTGATGTCGATCGGTGGAAGTGATGATTCAGATGTTCAGATCTGTGATCAGAAACAGCTTTCATCTCCGATAGTGAGCAAGTCGTCTGATGCGCATCCAAGCGGCACCAAGTCGTCACCAAAGTGACGCCGAGCTTCATCTGGCGAGCTGTGTAGTCATGGCGTGATCACCAATTGGACTGGACGCCTAGTCACTGACTAGGTGTCAGTGTGATAAATATAATTTGAACCAATTGAAAATTCATATATATATATATATATATAATATGTGTATATATATATTATGTGTGTGTGTATATATATACATATATATATATATGGATATATATATATATATATATATATATATATATATATGGATTTTTGTGATCGTTTGAAAACATTTTTTTGTTTGGGTTTGGAGGGGGGAGTCAACTACTCAACTGTGTTGTTTGAATGCCTGCTTTAATTAGCTATTTTTTATATGTAAATAAACTCTAACCTTGTTAGCCTGGAACTCTGTTTCAATGCTAATTACATAGTCTGCAACGAATTACAAATTTGCTTGGATGCACTTGGGCATGCAAATTATTTTCTTGTAATTGTGTTATGAACACGATATTCATGTTGAAAGTTATTGTTTACTCATTTTTACCTTGCTGATTTTTTAAATGCATTTGACAGTCTTGTGTGGGCACCACTCCATCAATTGGTAACATATTGGAGGATTTTTTGAGTCAAAGGTTTGGAGAATATTCTTATGAACTTGTTGATTCAATCCTTGTGCGGTCCAAGAAGGATTCTGCTCTTATCAGGTTCAACTCTGTAGAAAATGGGCGATTTGTATTATTATTAGAAAATCGTGCTTGTAAACCAAGCATTAGACTGTCTTCTGTGGATAATGTCATCATATATAGTAGTGATACTAATCCATCAAATGACTTGAAGCTTCTGGAAAAAATGTCTTTTCACTCTACGACGAAAGAAATAAAAGTTTTTCGGTTATATTCATGTTTTACGGTGGAGGAGCAAGCACTTGTCATTGCAAAGAAAGAAACTGATCACTCCCATAGTCTAAACCGGAATCTGAATGACACTCTTAGATGGGGGGCAGCAGATTTATTCTGTAGATTGGATGAGTACAATGCAAATGAAAGCCATCTATCATCTGGGCAGTTGCTTCTTAGTGTTGCCCTTAAAGAATTTTGCGCCGTAATTTCTGAAACCCCTGAAAAAGCTGGCATAAGCGGTTCTCTTATTGCAAAAGTTCCACATAGTTCTTTTCATTTGACTACAAATCTTTCACTATTTGGGAAGCAGAAGGTTAATGGTACTACTGAAGAATCTTGTGTCTTTTGGAAGAGTTTGTTGGGGGTACGAAGTCCTCAGTGGAGACATATAAGATGTAGAAGTCCAAGGAGTAGAAAGAGAGGTCAATTTTTTGGTAAATCAGATCAAACACCAGAAATTGCAGGTAATGTAGTAAAGAAGTATAAGATGATGAACAGTGAAAGAGGTCAAATTTCTGCTTCAAAGGAAGGTATCATTCTTTTGCTGATTGTTCTCTAGCTATTCATGTTGATAATGACATCCATTTTCTGGACGAACACGTAATTGCTCAAATAGTTCTAACTCTTCTGATGTTGGTGCAGGGCCCTCTGCTATTAGTTCTTCCAACGTGTCATTGCCAGCATCTACTAATGGAAACAATGGACTTATTGTGATGCATTCTTCTAGTTCTTTATGTGGCGGCATTACACAAGAGGAGCCTGCAGAAATAATGACATTATCTGATAAACAGAGTAGTCTTCATATTCTTCTGAAGGCAGAGATGGAAAAAGTTTTTGAAGTGCTAAAGCTTCCGGTACCTCTCTTGACTTCCCCTTTTGTGGTTAATAGTAGTCTGCTTGTAGTGGTATTTCATTACCTTCTCATATCAATGATATCTGCCTTTGCTAACAATGGTTTTTATTGATTTAAACTCTCTAATTACTACTTGATAATTCTAAAGGCTAATACAATGTTTTCAAAAATAAACAATGGACTTTAACCTAACGAGAAAAACCCTACTTTTCCCCAACCTTTGCCTTTTAGTTTCCATAGTGGATCACTTTCTCTCAACTCTCAAGCAAAAGCATATGAAAAAAAAGTTTGACTAAAAGTTGAACCTGAAATTGGAAATTGGATATTTGGAGAGGACCTAAACTTGAGCACTAACTTGAACGTTGAATTTCAATTGATTTAACAATAACCTACATTGTTGGACCAATCTTGACATTCAGTAATAGTTAGGGGGTTTATTTTGTAATTATGTTGAAGTCTTTATTTGTTAATAATTAGGGTAGAGTCAGTCATAATTTTAGGAGATATACCTCAGATGGATTTGAGATTATCATAGCTTGTAGGAGTAGGAGATGTTATGCTTGGAGAGCAAGGCTGATGATTTAACTTGGTGGACAAGGTTAACTCATCTATAAATAGGGATAGTTTCTCTGTATTTTATGCATTCAAAGTTTTTCAATTAATTGGAGAAGGATTTCCAATAAGTTCTTGTTCTAGATTTCTGTTTTCTGTTTATCGAGATCTGGTACCAATAACTTCAATTGGTATC